ATTAATTAATGTAAGGTTTGTATTTTATTATAAATTCGACTGTATTCCTCTCCCCCATCCCAAACGCAGTGGCTCAGCTGTAAGCTTGAAAGCTTAATATGCTGAAACTCGAGGTTCCGTTTCTGCGTTTGGTATAGTGCAAGTAGCCCATTGTTCATTATTGCCTTTAAATGTAAACAAGTAATTTCTCCCATGAAATAATCGTTATAATAAGGTGACTGAACTGTACTCCAAACTATTGGAACACAGTTTTTGAACATGCTTATTTACATGAAAGTATATGGATGATGAATTGAGACCAACAACATGCAGTCTGAAATATCCAGGTTAGTCTTGAATTATAAATTTCTTAGATTCATTTCAACTAGATTTGGACATATGTTGTTGTCTTCAATTTTTATTACCACTTTCACTCTCTGTTTAATGATTGACCACCTCAAGACGACTTAAAATATCCAAACTTAATCACGAAGGAAAGCTTCAAACAGAAATCTTTAAACCATATAGATCAAACAAAGGGAATTGTTTATAATGGAGGAAAGCTTCAAACAGAAACCTTTAAACCATATCGATCAAACAAAGAGAATTGTTTATCATGGAGGAAAGCTTCAAACAGAAACCTTTAAACCATATAGAACAAACAAAGGGAATTGTTTATCATGGAGGAAAGCTTCAAACAGAAACCTTTAAACCATATAGATCAAACAAAGAGAATTGTTTATCCGCTCTTTATGCTTACATGGATTGTACTGTAAATTACGATGACAAAATATTTAATGCAATGAAATCTGTTTTACTACAGACCCACATGCTGGAAATTTGTTATTGTTAACTGAATGACATCTTATGTCCGTAACTTCAGTATTGGAGGGCAATCAGTTAGTAGCACCCATCGCCTATCCAATGTTTATATTTTTAACGTAATAACGAGGTTGACTGTCACAATTATAGCACATTAGAGCTCAAAGTGCGGAGCGTGTTCTGTGGCATATCGTGTCTCGAACCTTTGACCTTTCGATCAGCAGTCAATAACGTTAACTACTAGGGCATGTTCGTCCTAGCCAGGTTTTTAAAAGTTCCATATCTTAGATATGGATATATTATGAGTTTGTCTGTCATGAATCGAAAACTATTCGTTAAATCTAGGAGCTAATTTTTTTAATGCTGTTCTAATGTCCTAGTGGATATTGCACGAAACTGAAAAACTGCATATTATACAACCAGATAGCATCCCATAATCAAGTAAACGAATAAAATGTACATGCCTCACAACGTATTAGCTTTGTAAAGGTTGTTCTGACAAAAATGTAAACAGAAATTCACTTAACGTCGAAATTTGATTCATTTTAAGTTTTGACATACCAGACCAAAGGATTTCGTTTGTGAAGAGTGAAATGGAAAAATAACTTACCAACTGAATCATCAAGGCTTAACAAAATGTAGTAACAATTCACAAATGATGTCAAGTAAATGATATCAGTCATGCGGAGTCTTCAATGAAAATGAAAGGGCTTTTCACAGTAAAAAGTCACGTTGAATCAAAATTAGATAAAACACAAACAAGAAACCCGATAACTTGAGTGTGTTCGGAAGGTAGACCTTTCTTGTTTAATTTTGAACTAGGATGAGTTTTTGAGTCAGAGATTATTGATTTCATTGAACTATCAATGGCGTCGGGCTGAAGTGTTTCTTAGAGATATTTTAAACAGGAAAAATTTAACCTTGAGATTAATATTTCTAGCCTTTACTTAATATATGTGTAAGTTATTAATTCTGTAGAAGAAGGTTCTTTTTTTTCTCAGATATTCTCGCATAGCTATACACAACGGTTACCTATGTTAATCGTCTTTAATTTGGGGCTGATAGACTAGAGGGGAAGGCAGCTAGTCAACACCACTCGCCGCCAACTCTAGGTCTACTCTAATTGAATCGTGAAATGTATTTTTTTGCGGCAATGGGACGTGAACCATGGATCCACGGGTCCACAGCCCAGCACACTAAAGACTAGGTCATGCCCTGCCCTATTTTGTTGAGTCCAATTGAGTGTTTGTTTGTTTGTTTTGGAATTTCGCGCAAAGCTACACGAGGGCTATCTGCGCTAGCCGTCCCTAATTTAGCAGTGTAAGACTAGAGGGAAGGCAGCTAGTCATCACCACCCACCGCCAACTCTTGGGCTACTCTTTTACCAACGAATAGTGGGATTGACCATCACATTATAACGCCCCCACGGCTGAAAGGGCGAGCATGTTTGGTGGGATGCGGATTCGAACCCGCGACCTTCAGATTGTGAGTCGAACGCCTTATCCACCTGGCCATGCCGGGCACCCAATTGAGAGTCAGAGACGTTTAGACTCATTATGTTCGTGCAATAAAAATGAAGTTATTGCACTACTTTGCCTCCCAGTGGCACAGCGGTATGTCTGCGAACTTACAACGCTAAAATCCAGGTTTCGATACCCGTGGTGGCCAGAGCACAGATAGCCTACTGTGTAGCTTTGTGCTTAATTTCTAACACAAACCTTTCAGTACAAAAATATTCTTGTCAGAGACATAGGACTCTGACCAACTCTTACAGAAGGACAAATATACAAAGTTACCTATTAATGATAAAAAAAAAGTCGAACAGTATTTATTATAAGGAAACTAATCTAAAAGCATGAAAAACTCGTAGTAAGAGAGAAAGAGAAGGAAGAAAATCAATACTTTCTCTTAAAAAATATCCAAATATCCTCCTAGATGGAGGAAACATGCTTACGGTAGAATCGTTTTAAGGGGAAATATATCAAATTTTCTGGTTAGCTGAGCTCCAGAAAGAAAAGAGTGGGTGGTAATCCTAGCTTTGTCAAGTTTTGTTGACGTTGAATATTTTTGTTAGCGGTCTTTGATCTGTAGGATTGTAAGGCTTGTATTATTGACTGGGGATTATCTATTAATAAAACAAAACTGCGTATAAAACATCGAAGAAAAAAAGAAGCGAGGAAGGAATTCTGAAACATACGTGTCTCAAACTAGTGTCGTTTATTTTCTTGGCAGTGTCTCTCTGTTTGACCACAACCCACTAATATTGCTGATTACACAGGGAATCAAAGGGGATTTTGACGCAATTTGTGTTCTGGTTCGTTCTAGCTCTGAAGCTTAATATGTAAATTTGAATGAACATCTGGTACGGACATGTTCATCCTTGATGTCACTTTATGAGAACGGATATCAAATATGATATAATTCTTCTCAGCATTTCGTTATCTCTGAATTATTTTTAACAAAGTTTGATAGTAGATGAATTGGTAACCTTATTGCAACTCTATTTAACATTTGTAACTTATCCTATACGTGATATTATAACCTCACATAAGTTTGAAAAATCGTAATAACTCAAAGAAACCTGGCAGCTTGTCTCCCAAAATAAAGACATTATCAATATGTTTTAAAATTTTTATCTCTAGAATAAAATTTTTTTTTTCTGGATGACTG